GTCGGTTAAGCGTCTAACTCTTGGTTTCAGCTCAGGTCATGATCTCAGGGTCGTGATATTGAACCCTGCTTTGGGCTCCACGCTCAGTGCAGAGTCTGCTTGAGATTCTCTCCCTCTGCCCCTCCCCGCCTTTAAAATAAACTAATAAATCTGTTTAAAAATGTAAGGATGTGTAGCAAGATGTTTATTGAAGCATTCCTCGTCATAGGAAAAATATAAAAAGGCCAAAGTGTCCATACTGTGCCATTTAAACAAATTATTATAAACATCCACACGAAGCATTACACAGCAGTTAGAATGAGTTAATTCTGTATATTTACCTTGGAATGATGTCTGTGGATATATGTAAGTAAAAAAAGAAAAAGCATGTGCTAAAGGAACACATTTACTATTGTTCCATCTTCATAAGAACTCTCCTGTGGGTGGTGTCATGAGTGTTGGAATGAGTGGAAAGTCACGTGCCCAATGATTAACCTAAGTGTTCTCAGTGAAGTCAACTTGATGCAGGGGGGCTGCAGGGAGGGCAGGGAGGCTGACCTTGTTTTCTTATATACCTGGGTACTCTTTAAATTGTAGCACAAACATAGACTATTTTTGTAGCAATTACCACCCCAAACAGTAAAATAGTATTTAAAAGAAAAGGATACAAAAAAGCCAAGGGGAAGGGGGAGATGGAAGGAGCCAGGCCCTGCCCATCCCGTGTGGGGCCCCTGGGTGCCCCTGGGCCTGCTCCTGCAAGCTCTGGGGCTGCTGGGCAGAGCCCTGGCGGGGAGTGACTGATGTCACAGTGGGACAGGGAACAACTTAGGGCAGCTCAATGAGGGCCCTCCCTCAAGTCCCCTCCTCCGAGCTGGAGTCCCTTGAGGACCAGGGCAGTCCCTTCAAGGTCTCCATCTCCCCTTGAATTCAGAAAGAGTGTGGGAGTAGGCAGGAGAGGGGTGCAGACTCCTAGGGTCCCCAGCCTGGAAGACCAGGAGCATTCCGTTTCCTCATCCCTCAGGGTCCCTTCCCTATACACTCCCCTCCCCCGGGGGAACAATGTGTCCTGGAACTGAACACCTATTTTGAGCAGGTGATTTAACTCTGAGGCCAACACAGTCCCTGCCCAGGAGCCAGAGAGTGAAGAGAGAAACGGTTATTGTTATTCATTTACTCCTTTGGTCGGTCAATCAACAAACAAGTTTAAGGAGCATACACTGCATGTGGGCACCAAGCGTGGCTCTGTGGATGCAGGTGGGACCTGTTCCGGGGGACTCCTGTTCTACCTAGGTACCAGTGGCAGGGCTCATAAATGCCAAGGGTGCAGGGGCTGGATCAGTACTGTCTTCCACTGTGCCCTAGTGCTTAGCATGAGACTTGGCACTTACCAGGCGAATGAAGGAACCAAGTTCCACACTATTGTGACAGTGGCAGGGGGTCTGCTCTGTGCCTGGGAGGGGCAGGAGAGGGTCAGTGAACAGGGGGAGCTATTTGGGTTGAGTCTTGAGGATGGAGTTGAATTAGCCTAGTGGACAGGTGGAGGGAGGTTGTCCTGAGCGGAGGGACCAGCATCTGCAAAGGCACGGGGTCAAGTGCATGGCGGGGCATCAGGCTGGGGCTGGTGAGGATGAAACACTGGGGCCTTGGATGCCATGCTAAGGATTTTAGGCGCTGCCCCTAGGGGATGCTGAGTCCCTGATGAATTTTGAGAAACAGACACTACTGGAGATAGATTTGCCTTTTACATTCCTGGGGGACAGTCTGGGACCTGTTTGGAGGAGAGTCAGGTGGGAGGCAGGGAGAGATGTTGGGACGGGGTACGGGCTCTCCAGAGGTGGAGGAGGGGGCAGTTTGGGGATATTAAGGCTTGGTAAGCAGGAGCTACAGGCTTGAGGAGGTAGGTTTTCTGAGAGGGAGGGAGGGTGAACCCGAGCGGCTGCTGGAGCTGGGATGCTTTTATTGTTATTTCTCTTTGCTGTTGTTTTCAAGAATTCAGTTTGGGTTTTATTATAAAATTGATTAAAAACACATTGTTTGAAAAAAAGGAGGACACAGAGCAGCTTTGAGAGCAAATTGCCTTGGCCAGGCAGGAAGCAGGAAAGGGCTTTTGATGTGGAGCTGGGCCCAGCAGGGTCCTGGACCGCAGAAGGGACAGACTGGACCCAGAGCACAGTGGGAGGGACAGAGGTCCCAAGCCCGGGTGAGAAGGGACAGGCAGGCAGGGTAGAAAGGCAGAGTGAGCCCTGCACCCCTTGGTGGGCTCCCATTCTAGGGCTCCCTCAGAACCCCACTCCAGGGAGCTTCCCCAGGGCAGGCCAGGGTGCTCAGTAGGAGGCCAGCTTTGCAGTCAGACACATGGCTTCCTATCAGGGTCTGACACGCACCAGCGAGTTAACTGACTTTGGGCGGTTACTTTCCCCGGGGCCTTCACAGATGAGGATCTGTGAAATGGGCACAGTCCCTCATGGAGTTGTTGTGAGAAGTACATGAGAAACAGTGTGTACAGCGCTGACCACCATCAGGCCCCCGGGAATCCCTCAGTGATGACCCCACCATCAAAGTGTCCATCTCTGACCAGTTTGGCAAGGTTTGTGTCCCGCTCTGGCCCTGCCTCTTCCTGGGCCTCCGGACCCCGGCAATCGGCAGCTCTGGGGGGTTCCCTATCTGCCTTCTTGGCCATCCTCCCACATCCTTTCCCAGGCCCTGCTATCTCCTGAAAGTGCCCTTTCCTGAATCCCCTTCCTGGAGCCTGGCTCTCCCATCCCTCTGAGAGCCCCAGGCCTCTGCCCCGCTCCCGCCCGCAGCCCCGGCCATCCATCGCCCTCTGTAGGCCTTCCTGTGCCCACCCCGCCTGAGCCCGCCCGAGGCCGCCACCCTGCCGCCCCGCTCCCCTGCTCTCCCTCCGTTTGCCCCCCTGCCAGTCTGTGAACCTCCTTTCCCACGCAGGGGCTGCCCTGTACGGCGGAGGAATCTGTAATAGGCCGGTTCTCACCTCCACTGTTTTGGTTTCCTAGGGCTTCAGTAACAAGTGACTACAAACTGGGTGGCTTAAAACGATAGAAATGTATTCTCTCAGCGTCTGGAGGCCAGATGTCTGAAATGCACGTGTCAGCAGGGCCATGCTCCCTCCAAGGCTCCAGGCGAGGATCCTTCCTGGTCTCTTCCAGCTTCTGGTGGCTCCAGGCGGTCCCTGGCTTGTGGCTGTGTCCCTCCCGTCTCCTCCTCTGTGATCACATGGCCTTCTCCTTGGAGTGTCTCTTATAAGGACACTTGTCATGGGAGGTGGGGCTTCCCTAAGTCATCCAAGAGGACCTCATCTCCAGAATTTTCACTTAATTTTATCAAACATCCTTTTCCCAAATAAGGTCACGTTCACAAGGTTCTGGGGATCAGGACGTGGACCTAGCTTTTGGAGGGCCACCATTCAACCCATCCTCAGCCTCTTCCAGGCCAGCCTCTGCCCACGCCGCCCATGGCTCACCTAGAGCACCCCGACCCCTCACGCCACACCCCGTGTCACAGCCTCCCCTGCCTCCAGCGTCAGAGGATAAGTTGTGACGTGTCCTTCCCACCTGCCCTTGGGGCCCCAACCGCCTCACCCCAGGGAGAACTGCTCCAACCGCCTCTCTCCTCCAGGGCCTCCTCCTCTTGCTCTGGCAGTCTGAGACCTTTTCTAGAATTCCCTTCTTCGAATCCCCAGGTGTTGGACAGTCTGACCCCTTCTCAACCCAGGGACCTCTCCCCTCGCACCCCGCCCCCCCGCTGACCTGCTGTGAGGCTCTCAGGCTGCGCCATTTTGGAAGCTCTCCTCTTCAGAGCCCTCAGGAAACCCTGGGGCCTCCACCTGCCCGGCTTTGCCCCTAGTGCTCCAGGGATCCCAAGAAGGGCCCCAGGCTGTTTTAGGAAAGTGTGCGCCCCCCACCCCCCACTGCCACCGTTGGCCTAGGTCTCTGGAGATGGGTCGGTCCTCTCCCTGGCACTCAGATCTGCACAGAATGTGGTCCCCAAGACCTGCTGTACACAGGAGGGGTGAGGCCATGGGCCTGGGGATCACTGAAGCCCACTCCAGGCTTCTGGAGGGGTCTGCACCTGGCTGACGGTTTCAGGAAAGAGGCCAGACCTGTGTCCAACACTGGTACTTTTGCGGGGCAGAGTGTGGACAGTGACTGTTAAGGATCAGGCTTTGTATCCTGGCTGTGAGAATTGACTAGCTGAGTGGGCAGGTAGCTCCTGTGTGCCTCAGTTTCCTCATCTGCCAATAGAAACAGCACTCTGCCTCACAGTGCTGTGGTGAGGCATTAAGTGAGGGAATACCACCGGCAGCCCTGGGCCTTGGCACTGGGCTGTACCTGCCCCTGCCCCTGCCGGTAGCCAGGCAGCCAGACAGTAGGGCTCAGTGCTGGGGATGGTTAAATGTTTAACAACCCGCCGGTGGTGGGCATGAGGTAGTCCTGGTTTAGCACTTTCTGATCTCCGTGGGTAATTAACGCCCCCCACCACCACATCCAAGTTCAAGCTCCCAGAGGAGGCAGAGTTGGGAAAAGACGCTGGGGCGGGTGGTGCGGACGGGACACAGCACTGTAGAACATCAAGAGCATAAATACCAGTCAGATGCGGGAATGTAATTAGGAAGCCATGAGTTTTGAGTATTACCTTTGTCTTTACTATATTTAATTGTAAGCCAATTATCATTTAATTTTTAATAATGGCTGTGGTTCACAATGGACTCACAGACTTTGTGTAACTCTAACAGTGGGCTCTCACAAGCTGGGTCGCGCTGGCTCCAGAACCCTGCTGCCGCTGCCCCCACTCTTCGAGGAGATGTGGGGTTGCTCCAAAAACTGGGGCCTGGGGTCTGCCCACCTCCCCTTCACCCCAGCGTGACTCTTGCGGAACCCCATGTTTAAGCAGGGGCTGGCTCTGGGGTTCCTGTATGTAGCCCATATTCGGACCCCGCCAGCCATGCGGACTCCTTCAAGGTTGAAAGGCACGGGTTTGGGATTCGGGCACACCGGGCTCACCTTCCGGATCCACCCTTTGGTAGCTAGCTGTGTGACCATCAGCCAGTGCTCTAATCCCGAAGAGCCCCATCTTCCTCATCTGTGAGATAGGGATAAGAATGTTGTTAGAATTCCAGTCTAGCAGAGTTGGGTGTTAAGAACAGTTTTGTTGAAACTGACACACACTTGACATGTGGTAAACTGCTTACAGTCCACAAGTCCTGACAGGTACCTTTTCGTGACGCGTTCTCCACAATGAAGATACCGAAGGTACCTGGTGACCCAAAAGTCTCCTAGACCCACTGTGATCCCTCCCGCCACCCCACCTCTTCCCCGTCCCATCGCCAGGCAGCCACACTGACCTGCTCTCTGTCATTATGGATTAGTTTATGTTTCTCGAATTGTACATAAATGCAATCACGTGTCTGGCTGCTGCGCTCACAGAGTTGTGTGAGGATTAACCCCATAGGACCTGGTGCAGAGGAAGTGCCCCAAACCCAGGAGCTGCTGAGGCAGGTCACTGAGGTCCCACTACGCTGCAGTAACGAAGTTTCCTCTTCGAAGTGGTGCACCTCACTTAGGGTCGGGTCGTCAAACCTGAGGGCAAGGTTGTGGGAAGTGTCATGTTCCCCCAGAGTAGAGAGAGGCAATGGATCCTTCGAACAGTAATAACGTCTACCACTGATGCTTTCCCTATTATGACCACTGTTTCAGATTAACCCCTTCTACGAGATGGAGATCATGCAAATGCTCCTCACATGTGGTCCAGCTGATGTCCCAGGCACCACCACCCCACGCTGGGCTCTCTTCTCCCCATGGACAGGGTCCTCCCATTCACCAGTAGCCAGTTCACAGTTTTGGAAATGTAGAGATTAGCTAAGTCCACCAGGCCCCACATCGCTGTTATCCTTGGCCACAACCCACTCTGTGCACCCTCCCCACTGCCCACTGAGCCCCGGAAACCCTCCTTCCGTGGCCCACACTCTCCTAATCATTCTCTGAGCACATGGCTTCCCTTCCCTTCCGTGACCCGGCCCTCCACAGACTTTGCCCACTGCATTTCATCTCTTCTTGTTCTGCTCCCCAAACCTAACTTACCCACCACCCCCAACCCTGCTTCTCCCACGGTGCCCGACAAGACAGGGTCCCATTATCCACATGGCTGCCCAGGGCCCTGGTCATCACCTCCCTCCATGCCACAGGACGAGATGCAAGCCTTGTCAGCTCGAACCCCATGACATCCCATGCGCCCTCCATGTCTATCTCTATGGTCCTACCTTGACCTGGTTTGGGCCACCACTGAAGGCCTCCTGGGATATTTTCCCTCCCTTTTCCGCCATTCTCTGCACTAAAGCCAGGGTGCAAAACGGGACGCGTCATCACCCTCTCTATGCACAACCAACACACACAGTCCCTCGCTGGCTTCCTGCTGTCCTCAGGATAGCCTTGTAAGGCCCCAGCTCAGGTCACCTCCCTGGCCTCAATGTCTCCACACCTGCTCTAGCTGCTCAAGAGCCCTTACTCTGCAAACTCTTACACTCTCTGGCCCCCTGGCCTTTGTGTGTAGCTAGCTAATCTCGTGATGAAGGAGCTGAGATGTACAATCCTGGAGGTTTTTTCTATCTCCCCGCAAATGAGCTCAGTCTCTGGATGGTGGCACCAGCTCTGTCTACCAAGGGTTGTGAACATGTGGGTCTCTTCCAGTCTGAGAGGACAGGGAGGGGAGTTGTGGGGTGGGAGAGACCAACCAGTGACAAGGACAACAGTAACGACAGTGACCTAACATTTATTCAGCTCATACCATGGGCCAGACACTATCCCAAGTGCTTCCCATGGATTAATTCTTTTTTTTCTTCTCAAATCCATGTTATTTTTTTTATTGAAGTTTAACAAAGCCAAAGAAAAATACGAAACCATAAGTGAAGAACTCAGTGAAGCTTCACAAAGGGACCACACAAGTGAAACCAGCACCCAGACCAAAAGCGAACATGCCCAGCACCCCATGAGCCCTACTCCTGCCCCCTTCTGTCTCTAGCTTCCAGAAGCATACCCGCTATCCCAGCTTCTAATACCATTCGTTCACATGGCCCATGTTTGCAGTGCAAATAAGTGAAATCACACAATCTACGGTGTTTTGTGCCTGGCTTCTCATGCCCGGCGTTCTGTTCATGTCTGACACCATGACATATCATCATGTTGCATGTCGGTGTCGTCAGCTCTTTCTCATGGCTGTGCAGCATTCCAGGGTGTGAATAAATATTCATGCATATCATTTAGATGGGCATGCGGTTGTTCCTGATTCTTGGCGATTATGCGTAGCGCTATCAACATTTTGTCCACATCTTTTGGTTGGACATGTGCACTCATTTGGCACCACGGAGTCCTAGGATAAGCATGTTAACTGCAGTGGGTTCCGCCAGTTTCCCACCAGCTGTAGAAGAGAGCTCTGCATTAAGTCTTCATCTGCACAACAGCCCATGGCACGCGATGTGGTGGACAGCTGTCTCCACCTTGCTCAGCAAGCTCCCCACTGTGTGACGCTGGGGCCGGCCTCCTCTAATTCCAGTCCCAGCCCCTGAACTTCACCAATCAGAGGCACCTGCTTAGGAGTCTGTGTCTTCAAGGAAGGCAGGCAGGGTCTGCGGCCCTGGGGTCCAGGGTTGGCAGTGTCGGTGATAATTTCGGAGGACATTTTTTCCCTTGTGTCCTGGTCACCTTGGTTTTGGGCTTTCCACCTTCCTTTTGAACCTGTGAGAGTTTCCCCATAGCCCTTTAGGAAGCTACTGGGTAGGTCCCATTGTTTGCAACCAAGAAGCCCCACTGATTCAAGGGAGCTATTTTATTCCCATCTCACAGGTGAGGAAACTGCACAGAGAGGTTATGTATTTTGCCCAAGGTCACACAGCTGACCTGCTGGAGCCAGGACTCAAAACCACGTTTATACCCCATTTAGGGCTTTCTGTCTATGTCTCATACACTATTCCTACAACTTGAAGCAGGCAGCTAAGTGATTCACTCGGGGTCACACAGTCACGAAGTCAGGCCCCGTGACTCCCACCCCACAGAGCTTCCGGCCCTGAAGCCTGGAGTGAGTGCAGAGCTTCGGCACACCGAGAGGGAAACGGGAACGTGCATTCAAGCATCGAGCCCTCATTTACTGACAGCTAATGGGGGTGAGGCACTGTGCTGGGTACCAGCAGAACAACAGCAGTAAATAGTGAAAAAAGCAGAGGAGACTAAAATTACACAGGCTGTCCTGTCAGGTGACAGGTGCCAGGAAGGACAAAGCAGGGGGAGGGGGAGGGAGTGACTGGGAAGGCAGGCCCGGGGGGGGGGGGGTTCTCTGAGGACATTGGAGCAGAGGCTCTCCCGAAGTGAGGGAGACCAGAAGACCGGCTGCGGGGAGGTGAGGCTGAAGGCCCCGCGGCGGTAGTGAGCCCGGCGTGTTCATGGAACCGTGAAGGCCAGGATGGTCGGAGCAGGGAAGTCAGACGGGGCGGCAGGAGGGGAGGACAGATAGCCAGGTAGGGGCACCTAGGCAGGGCCTTGCGTCTTGTTCTGAGGCTAGCGGGAAGCCTTTGGAAGGTTTTAAACGCTGCAGGGCAGTGCTGTGGCCTGATGAAGGCTTCAGAAGGTTCAGTCGGGCTGCTGGGTGATAAAACAGGCCATGAGGAGGCAAAGGGGGGGTAGAGCAACAATTGAAGGGCTTCGATGGTGTCCAGGCAGGGGATGGGGGGGGACGTGGGGGTGACATGCGGGTTCCAGGACAATCGGTTCGTTGTCAGACAGTATCTGCGACTGGTGGGCAGTGGGCTCCCAGGGAGGGGACTTAACCTTGGGGGCTCTGAAGAGGTGAGAACATAGGGGCTGGGCCACCGGAGGCTTCAACCAGGGACAAGGCTGGGGACTGCAGGTTCAGAACAAAGGCACCACCTCTGAGGACACATGGGAGCTAGAGGTCACTGGGAGGCCAGGGGAGCCCAGCCTGGCCTTGGGTCCGTGGCCTTTCTGGGGCCACAGGAGCCCAGAGCAGCTCCGCAGGGCTGGGCTGGGGGCTGGGGGCTGGGAGTGAGGTGGCTGGCAGGGACGTATGACCCCGAGCCCTGCAGCTCCGGTGCGCCTGACCGAGAGCCCCACTCTGGGCTGTCAACCTGAGCCAGGTGTTGCTCTGTGCCAGGGAGCATCACTGCGGAGCTTGCCTGTTTGGCATAGACTTTGGACCTTAGGATTTCCCTCCAAGCTGTTACGTCATCATGTACTTAAAGGGCTGTTGGGTTGGTCGGCACTTCCGAGGGCGCAGGAGGGCCTGGCTGCTGGAGAGGAGGCAGTAGGAGGCTGGGAAATTCAGGAGGGGAATTTCAGCAGAAAAGGCCCCAAAGTGCCCCAGGCCAGCATCGGAGTGGTAGTGGGAGCCTCCTCCTAGGGGATGGGTGCCAGGGAAGCGGCCGGCATAACCTCCCAGCCACACAAAGGAAGTTCCAGGAAAGCTGGCTAAGCAGCTGACAGTTCAAATCGTAGCTTGTCTCAGTCTCCCTAGCAAGGAAGGATTACTTCCCAGGCTATATGTGTCGCTGCCGCCTCATGCCAGGCTGCGCGAGCGAGTCGTGTGGCGGGCAGCCAGCTGGGGGCTACCCGGAGGCTTGGGGAGGAGTCAAAGGAAGGGCATTCAGGACCCAGTGCTCAGGACCAAGAGGCTGGAGGAGAGCTTCACACCCAGTCTGCCCAGGGCAAAAGTAGTGGTCTCTGGCCGTGGGGCGTGCCTTGGCTTTGTGGCTGTCTCTGGGCCTCCAGCTTCACTGCGGGCTTGTGAGGGTCCAGAGATAGGGTGTGGGAAGGCCTCCTCCCACGGCATTGCCCCATGTTGGAGGAGGCATGCTGACTCACCAAGCCACACAGGCAAACCCAGGGTCTTATCTTGGCTGCACCCAGGCTGGTAAAGAAGGGGCTGCCTCCTGGGTTCTCTCTTCTGTTGCCTCCGGGGAGGCAAGATCCTACCTGGTCGAGGCCAACATGGACCACCAGGAACACCCCCACTCCCTGTGTGGTACCTCCACTCTGATCGGTCAGTGCCTGAGCCATGCTGGTGGGCAAATATTTTGAGGATCACCTCAATCTGGAGGACCAGTGAACCCCAGTCTTTGAGAAATTTACCTGTTCTTCCTTTATATCATTTCAGCTGTGCCTTTATGTCAGGAGTTTGCAAAGGACACCGATTCTCGGCAATGCAGAAGACAACCTTCAACCTGCCCGCTTGAAGCCGTGGCCCAATCCTAGGAGGCAGGGGAGGGCATCCCTGTTCCCAAGGCTCTCA